GCCCTAATGTACATAATGCTAAGGGTGGGGCACTAATGTGCAAAAATCAAATGCTTACTTAATTTCTACAACTTTTAAAAATTAAATAATAGAGCGAATGCAATTAAACCGTGAAATAAAATCAAACTAAATACTAATAAATGGTATCTATTTAGTGACTAATAGTCACTATTACTCAACCAGAACATTTATTTAAAAAAAGACACAAATGGTCTCTTGTGTATTTGTCTTTGTATGATGAATGTTCTGGTTGAGTGAAAGCAACTATTAGTCACTAAATAGATACTATTAGTTAGTATTTTATTTTGATTTTATTTCACAGTTTAATTGCATCTGCTCTATGGTCACGCATAAATGTTGCTGCAATTAAGTCTGAAGGCGTATACTTATTTCAATAAAATTAGTCACCTGAAAAGCTCCAAAGCGGAGACCAGCAAGGATTGTAGATACTTTTACATGTTTCAAGCCCTACTTGATCACTATTGCTGGATTTGAGATCTTTTTCCAGTTACAATCAACCTCCTGTGAGCATCCTCAAGTTGCAGTTGTTATTTAATGTTCTTCATGATCCTCACCAGTCTCAGATTTCTAGGTTTTTCTTGGTGAGCAACTTTATTGAAATAAGTATGTAACATTACATGGCTGCCTTTTTCCAAAATGTTTGTTTGTGTTGCCTCTAATGAATGAGCTCAGCTCTCATATTGCACCTTAAAGAATATCATTGATAAAAAAWCATATTATTGTAAAATAAATATTGATTTGTTTATTTCATACCTGGCCTTCAGATCAAATATGTTGTGTTTGTGGAGACATCTGGTAAACCAGGTGAGGTGATTTGCAAGATAGCCAAGGACAAGAATGCACAGATGATTGTCTTGGGTTCCAGGGGATTAGGAACTATCCGCAGGACTSTTCTTGGTAGTGTTAGTCATTATGTGGTTCATCATGCAGATATTCCTGTAACAGTTATTCCACCAATTTCCCACTGATTTGAATAGCATTGTATACATGCAAATTGCATCTAGGAGGCATGAATATTAAAATGGAAAGTAAGTTGACAGTATGACATTACATATGGTATGCCTTGTAATTAAGCATGATCCTACACCTAGCCAATATAGAATTTTAAGTAATATTATATCACAATTTCATTAAGAGGAATAACTATGAACTGYGGTGGGGGCTCCTTACAGCATTTGCACGGCAGATTACACTTTATTAAATTATGTATACTAAAAACTAGTTAATTGTAGTTAGGTTAGGTTAGACTTGTAAAACGTTTTCTCAAGAGCAGACCATAATAATATGCCCATAGACTTGCATGGTACAAAACCCTTTATTTTAAGTTGTTTAATAATCATGTTATAATCATTTATCAATTTGGTCTATGTACTATTCGATGCGCTCATTTGGGGCACTATATAGTATACATTATTAAGGTCTAAAATGAATTTATTAGGTTTGTTAAAGTATATAATTTGCACTATTAAATTAAATGATATAAAAAAGATAGTGGTGTTTAATAATAAGCAGGAGTGTTTTACCAGGTTTAAAATTAGGAGTCATAGCCAAATGGTTGACAATCTGCAAGCTTATTGAACAGTTTGAAAGACACAGGATTATTTCACAAACCTTTGGTTGAATTAAAGTGAACATAATTATAATTCACAAATATGGACTTTCATACTTCGATGAAGAAACAGAAAATACAGGAGTGCAGTGTGCAGTTGTTAAGCACGTGGGGTTTGCAGAATATGAAAAAAGTGTTTATAGTGTTTCTATACTTGTTAAGTGTTCTGCCAATCCCCAAGTGCTTTATAACTCCACACATCACAGGATAAAGATTTTATTTCTTTTATAAAATATAAAATCAAGGAATCATGAAACTGGAAGTGAGTGCGCATGGTCTCAAAAAGCAGTGCTTCCACCCAATCAGAACGTGAGATTTAGAACAGTAATTTTATAATAGAAGTTTATACATCAATGTTGTGCTCAGTGAGGTTTGTAYGTGACTGCAATCCACAAGTTGAAGACAACATCTAGGGTTCAGGTCAAACATSGAAATTCACATGAGCCAAACCTAATTAAAACAATGGATAACAAGGCAGTTTTCTTTGAAGTCATTAGGTTCGGCTCATGTGAAGTTCGACCTTTAATCTTAGCCTGTCTTCATCTAAACTTTGATGCAACTTTATCTCTATTGAAGTCATCCTCATAAGTATTTTTTACATGAATACTAAAAAAATGCTGATAGGGATAAAATCTTTATACTAATGAAGAAGACTTTAGCAACTACAAAAGTCCATGCATGTGACATGCAGGCTCCAATAGACCTTTTTACTGATATGGTTGCATGATATGGGATGCCAAGGTTACATTTTCAAATAAATTAAGTTTTGCATTATTTCAACTACCAGCAAATTCAATTGCTTTTTTGAAGTGCTTTTCATTGAAAAGCATAAAGTTATATAAAAAGACATCCTGACAGCTGTGGCGTCTATACATTTTCCCATAGTTGCCCCTCAGCATCCCATAATCTCTTACCTAAAACAATATAATTCAAGATGGTGGCTGTATCAGTAAAACGATATCAAAGGCTTCTGAATTATTCATGAGTTTTAGAAAAACTAATAAAGTCATAATAATATGTTGTACATAATAAAATAATGATCATACTTTATTGCTCAATCTCATTAGAAAATATCAAATAATTTTTTTCTTGTTTTTATATTAAGAAAGTACTTCAAATAATTTCAAGGAGTATTTCAGGATGAAAATAACCAAAATTTCTGCATTAATGATGTCTCATCAATGTATTTTGTTATTTTGATTTCAAACCTCACACTATTGACAGAGTATCTCTTAAGGAGTATTCAAGGACTTTTCAATGTTTTTTTTTTCAAGAATGCCCTTTAATTTGTATCATAAATGCAAGGGCATTTCAAGGGCTTCAAAGACCTGCACGAACCCTGCAGTGCATGTTGACAGGTAAATATATTGACAAGAATGGCAATCATTTCACTTGATCGTACGCACTTAGGTATTGGGGGGGAAATTGTATAACTGGTGAGCCAAGGTCAAGGAGAAACTGTGTCAGATATATAGTACTATGAGACCCTAGCATGAATTTTTCTGAAAATTTCAGAAAATTTGTTGTCTGGGAAAAGCTGTTCTAATATTCCCTCAGCAAGTACATAAACTATCCTTTTGTTGAAGCTTGCGTACTGAAATGTGTCAAAAACTCTAAAAACAAAGAATAAAAAAGTTAACAATGTTGATTCTTGCAGGGATATTCACAACTTCTTTATGACCATGATAATAGTATACATTGAGGGGTTTACTGTTTTGTATTTGCTGTTACATAAAGCATTTTGTTCATTGCATGTGTACCTGCATACACCATCCATTGTTACATCTGAACCAAGAAATCTCCTAAGTTCCTCTGAAAAAAACATTACAAACAGACCCAAGTAAACCAAAATGTTATTTCTTTATCCATTTTTGTAMCAGCATCTTTTGCCTGTTCCCAATATTGGCATATCAATTCATGCTAGATCTTTTTGTTTTATAGAATATAATAGTTATACACAGCAAAAGTTTTAAACACAGATTGTAGACCACCAACAGTCTATGTTACCTTTACCCAGTAATAATGAATGACTGGACCTTTAGTCAAAGCTTGAACTGGCTACTACATCGCAAGTTCCACACCAATTAAAACATGGTGGACCCATGACCAGACTATCATGACACAGTGGACTCATGAACAGACTATCATGGCACAGTGGACCCATGACAAGACTA